TTTAGAGTTTCGACTTTTAGAGTCATATTTGATAGAATTTATTTTCTGTCAGTTATATTTAAAAACTAATTTTTTTTATAATATTGAATGATATTTGCAATAGTATGCCACCTGTTTAGATTGAATTTCCCTTTCTTTATTGTTATTTTTTATTTATGCATAGAATATTCTTCATGCCACCTGTTTAAATTAAATTTTGTTTTGTTATTTTTTATTTATTTGTAGAATATTCTAGATCAGAGCATCTTAAACTTTTTTCAGTCTTGACTCTTTTTTTATTACTGAGATTTTTTTCATGACCCCAGAAACCCATAACATTTACAAGAATTTTGTGGGACCCCATAAGCATTGCTCAAATCCGACACATGCGTGAGTGAAACCATAACTTTTTCCATTTGTACTGTAATATACTATTGCAGTTTTAGGTCATTAACTTTAATTTCTAAATTTAGACATAGAACAATGTGAAATTTTAAATAAGTAACAGACGAAATGACAGCATCATGTGCAAAGGAAGTCAAATGAATGTTTATATTATAAAAAGAATACGCTGAAACGTTTTCATTTTTTCTTTGTCTGTATTGTTTTATCTATTTGCAGGTACATTGTGTAAAAAGATTTGGTAATTGCAAAATTATTGTAATAAGTTAAAGAAATACCACAACTGCTGAAATTTTTGGTGACCCCTGCTGCAGGTCCTGCAACCCCCATGGGGGTCGTGACTCACAGTTTAAGAAGCTCCATTCTAGATTAAAAAATTAAAAAGAAAAATTTAAGTTAGTTAGGAATTATGAAATTAAACAAAAAATTTACTGTTTACAAAAGTAATTTTTTAAGTCTTTTGAACTCTGTTATTATTTTATAATTTTAACCATGGCAATAATTGGTTCCCCCCCCCCAAAAAAAAAGTGGCGCATTTTTAAATGACATGGCTGTAACAGAATAGTACCCAATAATTTTGAGTGACGCGCATGAACTTTGTTATGTGAACTTTTTATGTCCAGCATTATTGGTAGGATTTGAGTGATAGTTTCAAGAATTTCCAAAGGTGCGCAGTGTACTGATTACTAAAAAATTCTGGCAGATTCCATTAGATGCCATGCTGAAATACTGTATCAGTCAGGGGTGTCATGAGAGATATTGATTATTAAAATACCACTGAATTGCAAATTTTTTTTTTTTTTTTTTTTTTTTTTTTTTGGGGGGGGGGTGAATTTTTCCAAACTGGGCATCAGTAAAAGTAGTTATTCTAAAGTTTTTTGAAAAAATGTTGATCTGAAGCTTCAAATGTTGTTTCTTATGTTAATTGTGTGGAGAAACAAAATTTCTTTTTAAGCAAAAGTGTAAACAAGTTAATAGCTTATTTTTAAATAAATATTCTTTCTCAAATAACAGTTTCTCTGTAGTGCGTGTTGGCATATATAATTTCATTTATCCTTCCTAAAAGACTGCTCATGAGTTTAAAAAAAATAAATAAATAAAAATAAAACACCACTCAATTTTCTTTTAAATAATTATTTGTAATTTAATCAAGAGACATTTTTTTATGTAGTTGTAGACTAGTGAATATGCTTCCAATTCATTTACTTCTACGAAAATAAAACAACAATAATTATAAACGGAGAGGAATAAAAGAAATCGGGAGAAAATATTTGGTTTCTCTACCTGAAGGAAAATTGTTCAGTTGCCCAGTACAAGAGTTGCAAATTTTTATTTACTGGGATTTAACTTTTCTGAATATAAAACAGTATATAATTCAAGATGTATTTATTCATATTTATATGTAATCATGTTAATCATATAGTCATTAATTTACTTCTAAAGTTTCTTTATATTCAAACCTTGTCTTATTATTTTTAAAATGATATAAATTTGACCTGCAGCTCTCAAACGTTCATAAAATCTATCATGCAGCTCCCATCATCTTGAAATTTAGCCATCCTGGATATATATTGTATTGTGCTTTTATATTTCTCCTTTCCTTTATTTTTTAAGCATGCATTCAAGTATTTGTTTTACTAAATGTATACAATGTCATGTAGTTTCTTTACATGTTTAAGGAAACTATTTCTCTTTATAACTTATATTTTCATAGAAAAAGTCGTATTTCTTAACTTGAAATTACTATATTATTTTTACTACCGATGTTATATACAAGGAGCATTTCTAGAGTCTTAGAAATTAAGGTATAATTTCTTAATTTCATTAATTTTCATCAATATTGCAATGCTGTTTTTCAACCTTATCCCTATTCTTAATTGAATGCACTTACCCCAATGATTTTTTTTTTTTTTTTTTTAAACTATCCTCAAAGAACTTTTGTGTCATCTCAATATATCTATTTTTGGCATGGTTAAACTCTCAAGCTGAACACCCCATAAAAGTTTTTTTCAAATGTAAGAACAGAATACTCCTCACAGATGCTCATTTTCTTTTTGTGGAAAGAGTGAAGTTTTCACACCCATTTTCACCAAGAAGAAAATGTTTGTTCTTTGCATCGTCTATGGTTGCAAAAACAGTGCTACAAACATGTACTTGTATCAGTCAAACAACTGAATTGGACTAAACAATACAGCAAGAGATAGCTGCATAAACATGTCAAGACTTTTTTCTAGCTGACAGTTTTGTCTACAAGTTCTGGAAATTGAACTAGAGCTCAATTCCTAGAACTTTTGAAATGTAGTATGTAAATGCTAATTTTATTTTAAATATGCATCTATGTGTGTTAAATATGTTGCCTTTTGAATGGTTTTAGTTCAGTGTGAAATTTTGAGGAATAAATCTTCCTAAAAACAAATTTGAAGAACTTGTATTTATATATGATAATTAAAGGAATTTTCAGAAAATAAAAGTTATCATAGGAATAGTTTGCAGTTTATTTTATTTATTAATATATCTCCTCTGTAACATGTGCATTTCTTTATTTATACAGTCAAAAGTCTTTAACCCGGACTCGTCGGGACTTCGGTGATTCTGGATTATCGATTTTTCCGAATTATAGATCATCAGTTTAAATCTGGTAAAAATAGCATGCAGAAATTATGAAATGAAAAATATGGAACCGTAATTTATAAAATAATGAGCAATTATGATCTAAAGGGTATCAAAATTTACAAAAAAAGAAGCTTAATATTTATTTGTTTACTTTATTAAACATTTCTTTCAACGCGTGCATGCGTACTTACGCATAGCCGGATTAGAAAATTGCAACAGAAAACTTTGATTTGTATTCGTGATATTTATAATGACGAGGAATTTGATTTAAATCATATCAAAGACGGAGTACATGAGATTAAATACTACATTTAGTAAGGAATTATAAGCCGATAAAATAAAAACATCTGCCCTGAAGATAACGATAGTGACAGATCAACTTCCAGTAATTGCCCCCCCCCCCCCCCATAGAGCGTGAAGTTGATAAACAGATTTCGGAAGGGTTAGAAAACAAAGGAATACTTTATCCATTTTTGTAGCAATTCGTTTTTGTTTGATGGACATTGAACATACTTTCGTTTCTAGATCTTTGGGAGCTCCAGTATCGAAATTCTATTGATATAATCGAAAGTCAAGCTACTTTTATAAAATTGCTCTTACAGTCTGCAAAAAAATAATAAGCCGGATCCAATTCGAAGATTAAGGAACCATGCAATCATCACATTAACTGAAATAAATAATAGGTAGTTTAGCTTATACCATCCTTTATACATAAACGGCACGCGAAAACGTATTCTGGCTGCGCAGATAATATGCGCATCTTAAATGTCCTTGCGCGCACGCGTAAAACACTATGAGCGCGTCAACGCTCACATTCGCAGAAAGATTTAGCTTTTGATGTCCGGATTTATGGGTGTCCGAATTAATGACTTTTGCTGTATTGTATTTCCAGTATTTTTCTATTCTTATACTAAAACTTTGCATATCAAATTCAAGAGTCAAGAAGCTAAATATTGCATCCAGTAATGAAGAGAATCTTTTCCCTCTCCTATTTTAACTTCCTTACTATAAAAGGAATTATTGTATCGCCGAAAAATTTCGGTATCATATTTTCGAAAATCCTTTGACCGCTATCGATACAATTTATGATGTTTTTTTGCATGCAACTGTATGTATGGACAGAATAAAGTACTTCCTCCCCGCCGAAAAAAAAAATATACAACTGATTTAAAATGATTTCTGGAGTGAATTTTTCGTGGTGTCTGTGCGTACTTATCTCGCATAACTCAAAAACGAGTAGCCTCAGAACATTGAAATTTTGTATGTAGGACTGCTATAACATGTAGATGTGCATCTCGTATTTTGGTTGCAATTGGGTGCACCAAAAGTATATAAATATATGTATATATCCACTCTGTTACTCGGCTCAGTGATCTCAGTTTCTTTATTCTTATATGTTTGTAAATTGTGAATTTTTTTGCTTTAAAAAGGAATGAATTATGTTGTTCTTATCTTCTGGTTAAGTTTTCTATGTCTTTAGTAAATCTGCATGCAATATTTGTAGAATTATCAACAATTTAAAAGTTGTTTAAGTGCTGCTAAGCCTAATTATTTTTACCCTGGCGGCCATGTTTGTTTACATTTCAAACTTAGCAGAATAGTGGATTTGTTGCCAATCTAGAGAAACTAAGCTTCGCAACAACAAAGATAACGCCTTCTTTTATTACTGGGAATTAAATTATGCTTAATGCATTCTGGAATTTATTCGAGGAAATAAGTTTTTAAGATTTTATTTCATAATTTTTAGTATAGATATTTTGAGTTTTTGTGTATTTTAGCCTTGTAGAAAAGTGAGGATTGAATTAATTGAATGAGAAATACTGAATCCTCTGTGAAAAACTTTTTTTTTGGGGGGGGAGGTTTGTTTAATTTCTTTTATACATCATTTTAGATTTATTTTATTATTTTAACAGAACATGTGGCAACGATTAGATAATTCTTCAGATGATATAAATTTTGTGCATTCTGAATTATAAAATGAATAAAATGTAATGCTGTTAAGTGAACGTAGAGCCAGAGTGTTGCTATGGTAAAGAAATGTTGTGAATTTTAAAAAGTAAATTTATTCTTTTGGGGTTTATGTGCTTTTGACGAAGTAGACTTAGTTCAATTCAATAAGTTTAAATGAAAAACAGGAATAAATGCATATTATTTAATATTCTGTACAAGAAAGTCATATGGTGTACACATCAGATTTTTTATCTTGCTTCTGTGTGTAGGTGATGAAGTATGAAGCAGGTTTTTCTAAACGCTGTGCTTCATAATTTTATGTATTTTCAATTTTCTTTAAATCTTGATTGATGCAATTACTTCTCTATGTTTTGATTGGGGAACATTTAAATTAATTTTCAGTTTATGGAAATCATAAAATTTATTGTTTCATTTGACACAAAAAGCATTATTCAATTACAGTTTGATCAGTATTTTGATGGGCAACCTTTTTTTTTGACATGCATAAGATACATTTTCCCCCCTCTCTTTGATCTGGATTATTTAAAGCATTTTTTACACTCTTAATGTAATAAACTTGCCAATTATGATTAGAAGGATCTAATTTTTCAGCAGCTGCATTTGTATTAAGTACAATTTCTTAATCCATTGAAAAAGTAGATACTTAAACTTCCTTACTCTGTATGCTTTATTTTACTCCCATTATTATTCAAAATGTATAGTTTTAGCTTTCCATTCAAGAGGTAAGCCAATAACATTTACAAATGGTTTACGAATCGTAAAATGTTGAAAACTTTTAATCTATATGAACATGACTGTGCATCCCCCTCCTAAGTACATGCTTGTTGACTGAATATTTGCTCTTTTCAGGGATCTTATGAATTTGTATCCGACTGAAGAAACAGCAGATACTTTAATGCAAGTTGTAAAGCATTTTATCTTAAATTTTAGCAACATAAAGAGTATGAGTTATTTTGTAATGGTGGACACAATATGTTATTTAAATAGCATGGCAGTGACTTATTGCAAAGGTAATTTTCATAATATGAAAATTTATATATATACTGTCATGCATTATCTTTAATTTAACTATTGCATTAATATAAAGGAGTGTAAATATTAAAGTTAGCAATACATTCCAGAATGTCTTTTGCATTCTGTATTTTAAAATATAATATGATATCTTAAGAATCCTAAGAGATTGGAAATAGTTTAGATTTGAGGACTGATGCTCTGTTACAAACTGTCCTCTCCAGATGATCCTTATTTGAGATGAGCCTTATCTAAGTAATAATAAGGCTCCAGATGAACCTTATTTATTACTTAGAGTTATTTGAAGTCTAAAGATTTATTCTTCTTTATAAGTTACCTTTCTTGTCCAATTTTTTTCCTCTTATACACCATTTTTATGGCTCTTGGTAATGTTGAAATCGTTTCTGGTGTTGACCTATTCCTGACCTATTTTCTTTTTGAGTTTCTTTTTTTACTGTTTGAAATGTTATATATTTAAAGTCGGCCAACTACAAGAAAAGTTGAAAAATAAATTTCCCCTGTCGACTGTGGTCAGAGTTGTGTATGAAAGTCAAAAAATAGAATGAGACATTAAAGATATGACATACTTTTATTTTTCCACATAGGTACCAAGTACATTGAGACATTTGTCATATCGCTTGATAAGCTTCAAAAAGCCCTCCAGGAAAAAATCAGGGCTTTGCATATGGAAGAAGCATTGAACGGCTTATTTCACTTGAGTACTGCTTCCAAAGCGCCTTCCCCCGAGATTTTCCTTCAAAGCCGGAAACAGATGGAAGTCGCTTGGTTCGAGATCAGGACTGTATGGCGGATGGTGTAGGCACTCCCAACCAATAGTTGCAATATGGTTTTGCGTTGCCGTCGCCGAATGTGGTCTGGCATTGTCATCCAAACAGCAGAACGCCAGATGTGAGAAGGCCAGGCCGCTTTTTCCGAATCGCCTCTTTCAATTTCGACAGGGTGTCACAGTAGCACGTAGCATTGATGGGTTCCAACCTCCAAAAGTCCAGCAACAAAACTCCTTGGGCGTCCCAGAAAACTGTGAGGAGCACTTTACCTGCAGAGGGAGTTGTCTTGAACTTCTTTCGGACAGGTGATGACGGATGTTTCCACTCCATAGATGCGGCCTTCGATTGCTGCCATGAAATGGTGGACCCACGTTTCATCCCCCATCACAATCCGAAACAGAAAGTCATTGCCATCTTCATGGTAACGCACGAGATGTTCCAGGCTGACCCCCATGCATTGTTCCGTGTGTGTCGAGGTAAATTGTCGGGGCACCCATCGTGCTGACACTTTTCTGTATCGAAGAATGTTGTGGATGATGTTTTGAGCTCGCTCATGTGAGATTCCAAGTTCTTCCGCTACTTCATCGATGGTGATACGCCGGTTCGCTCTAATCATGTCATCCACCTTCCTGACATTTGCATCTGTAGTGGCCGTGCACGTCCGTCCAGCTCTCGGTATGTCCTCCACTTGCTGACGTCCATCACTGAATGTGCGACACCATCTCCGCACCATTTGCTTCGACATCACACCTGGCCCATAGACTTCCACGAGGCGGTTATGAATTTCTGTTCCTAATACTCCATGTGCACATTCATAGTGGATAACCGCTCTCACTTCCTCCTTTGACCACGAATTCAAAATGCACCTTCTCTCCATACCTACTGGGGCTCAAATGAGAGGCTGGTCTCCGCTTTGCGCAGGCACTGCACAGCGCCATCTGCTTGATTTGCAGCGACCTCTACCCAATGGTGTATCGGTGACTTGCACATTTTCCTGCTGTGTTGCCTTTCGCCCATAGCCGTTCAATGCTTCTTCCATATGCAAAGTGTGAATTTTTCTTGGAGGGTTTTTTGAAGCTTATCAAGCGATATGACAAATGTCTCAACGTACTTGTACGAGAATAATAAAATAAAGATATGTCATATCTTTAATGTCTCATTCTATTTTTTGACTTTCATACACAACTCTGACCACAGTCGACAGGGGAAACTTATTTTTCAACTTACCCTCGTATATAAAAACTTTTTTCATCAGTTTCTAAGCAAGGCGATGATGGACTTTCGAGTTTCATACAGTATCTCATTGTTGATTGCTAAAACCGGCAAACCACATACTATTGGGGAAGATTTAATTTTAGCAGCAGTAAAAGAAGTAATAACCACTGTGCTCTATAAACCAGCTACAGATAGTATCCAAAAAATTCCTTCGAGCAATAGTTCTGTGCAAAGACGAATTGATCAGATGGCTGAAAACATTGAAGAATCATTGTGCAATCATCCGCAGTTTTGTCAATTTTCAATTCAGCTGGATGAGTCCACTTTACCAACTAATAAAGCATTGTTATTGTCATACATGAGGTTAATTAAAGGTGAAAAAATATGTCAAGAACTATTGTTTGCTACCAATTTGGAAACAGATACAAAAGAAGAAGCCATACTTAATACACTGGAAAAGTTTTGTGATTAAAAAGAAATTCCTTTTAATAATATGGGTGGCGCACCGACTATGACAGGGCATCACAAAGTCTCATAGCATGCTTAAAAAATAAAGTTCCTGATGCGCTTGCTGTGCATTGCATAATTCATCTCCAGCATTTGGTTGCAAAAAATCTTAGTGAACGCCTCCATACATCACTGCAATATGTTATCAGAGCAGTTAATAAAATCAAAAATAACTCATTGAATGACAGATTATTTAGTCAGCTTTGCATTACCAATGATGAAGATTTCAACCGATTGCTGCTTCACACAGAGGTGCGTTGGTTGTCAAAAGATATTTGTTTGACTCGATTTTACAATCGTTTGGATCTGTGATAGAGTTCCTGGAAAGCGAAGACACGGAACTGTACGACAACCTCATCTCATCAAAGAATGATATTGCATACTTGACAGACCTATATAAAATGTTTAATGATGTCAATCTTCAACTTCAAGGCAACACTTAAACTTGAATAAGACAAAAAATAGCATTGCTGCTTTTGTGTCAAAACTGCTGTTATACAAAAGAAATATTGGCAGTTGCAAATTCAATAACTTCCCAAATTTATCAGCAGTATCATTCAAGCACAATAACTTGCTTGTTTACTGTCAACACTTAGTAAACCTTCTCAGTGATTTCAAGGAACGATTCCAGGACATTCTAAACATGAATATATCAGACTGGGTTTTGGATCCTTTCTCAAATGTCAATAAAATAGGACCATCCCAATTAGAAGGAGAACTAATAGAACTGATGACAAATGAGGAATTAAAAATTCAAGAATGGCTACCAAGGATTTTGGCTGCAGAAGCTGATTTTGCAACTGTACCCAGGATTATTTTCGATTGTTTAACAATTTCTGATAGCATTCCCATCTTCCTGTTTAGGACTGTAGCAATGTTGGTAACTAAAAAGAGAAATTGGCTCCATGTTACTGAACGCGCCAACTTACGGTTGCTTTTAAGTAAAATAGAGCCTAATATTAACAAACTCCCTAAAATGCACCAAATTCAACCTCCTCATGAGATAAGTAATAAATTCAGTGTCTTTTGAATGTTAATAGAAATACTTTGTAATATAATTAAGTATGCGTTTAAATTATTCTCATTCAAACAGTCTTCCTTAAACTCAGAATAAGGATAGGGTCATATCCTATCTTACGACTATCTTACTATATAATACATAATATTACACGTTTAAATCTAATCAGGGCAATAGCTGTTTCAGATTCGCAAGGAAAAAAATTTAGGGGTTTTAGAAAAAGAATATTCTCAAATTGGGAGATTAGCAAAATAAGGTCAAGAACCTATGCTCTAGCTGAAATACATGCTTGACACCAAGGAGGCAAGTTGGCAATAGTGTCATTGATCATTTGTTGTGGCAGTAGCACCCATTCTTGTCATGTCGAGGCATGTGGAGGGTACCAGGATGTCCACTGCAACCTGCTTTCCATTGTCCCTGACGTGTTCCACACATGCTCTATGAGAGTTAGTTCCAGTGATCTAGCAGGCCATTGCAGTTGTGAAATAGTTTCACTCTCCACATAACTGCACCACTTGAGCTCTATGCATGCAGGCATTATCGTCTATAAATATCACATCAATACCCAATCTAGTAATAAAAGGACACGCAAGGAGGTATGGAATTTCATCGCAATATTGGATGGCTGTGACAAAACCATCAGGAATCATGTAGAGTTTGGTAGGGCAGTTCATTGCTGTTCCAGCCCATATAAGCAAGCTCCTTCCTCTGTAATGGTCTCTTTCAACGGTGTTTGGTTTCTGATAGCATGTCCCTGACTCTTGCCATAGCATTACTCTTCATGAATTATCCTGGATGTTAAAACTTCATCTGTAAAGAGTACATGGCCCCCACTGCTCTGGTGTCCAGCTGCGATGTTCACGGGCCTAATTCAACTGGTGTCTAACATGCTATGGAGACAAAGGAACACAAACCATATACATACATTTCTCCTTCGTTCAATCAATATGACTCAGTTTGGTGGGAGTCAGAATTCAAATCAGGAGATTTGACTAACCAATTTATTTGTTAAATACCTTTGATTTCAAGAAATTCATGAACTGGATTCACTCATTGCAGATAGATATTACATCCATAAAGTACCTTTAAATCTCTAAAATTACTATTATGGCTCTTAAAAAGCCTTATGTAGCATTATAAGACTTTATATGGATATCTCTAGATAGACATCAAATATCTATAAAGCATATAGAAAGGAGTACGATAAAGGAGTATGTCCATCCATTATTAATCCTTTCCTTACCACCACAGCTTTCATTATATCCTGGCTTTTCATTATATCTTCTGCTCTCTCAGTAGATACCATACTTCCCAGTTTTTAGTTTTTAGCCTTTATTAAGGAAAATGTTTCCCGGAAATAAATGAAATTTATTGAATTAAGGAAACTTAAATTATGGAAATGCCATTCCCTCCCCTTCCAGCGAGTTTTGGTGTAATTTTTTAAAAATTTTATTTGGTCTGAATTGTCTTTAATCTATTGTAGACATTTATAAAAATTTTCAAGAAGATTTATCAATGTGTAATCAATTATATTTGAATTTAACCTTTTCTACATCAATAATTAATACAGTAATAAGCTTATCCATGCAGCAGTATGTAAATTATTATTAATTTTATTTTTATCATGTTTAAAAGTGCTTTAATAAGTAAAAGCTTTTATTTCCTATTTAGGATTTTCTCAGTGTATAAAACTGTTAAGAAAACTGCAAAATGAAATTAGTTAAGGAACATAAAATTTAGAATATCTTGTAGAGTCATTAGGTTATTTCGAAACAGGAAATGTGAAAAAGGTGCAGTGTCCTTACTTGAATTCGAATATATGCAGGCTGAATATATACTCTTGAATACGGGACAAGTGTGTTTACAATGGCACCATGAAGGCATGCAGAAAGGAGAGAGAAAATATCTTATAACTTAATTAAATATTAATATATTTTACACCAGGATCACATTATAAATATTTTAATAACGTACAAGTTTTTTTTTATAAAGTTTTAAATTTATAAAGCTCCCAGTTTTTATAATTTATTTATATATTTTTATATTTTAATTTATTATGACTCATGCATTATAAAGCGAATTAAAGTCAATTTGGAGTTTCCTTTAAATGACACCTCAGTGCAGTGTGAAAACTTATTGGAGACTTCTGGGTTTTGCTTAAGAACCTCATGATTTTTGATATTCAATATTGACAGCTGTGATGTTGTTACAGACAACCATTCCTGAAAACAGAACAGCAACCAGTCTTGAGAAGCTGTTATTTTCTTTTAGGATATTAATTATGCCTTCCTAGTAACAATGTCAATATAATTGATATTCCAATATAGTATAATGTAAGATATATATATATATATATATATATCAGTATATTTGCATAATTCTAAAAGGCAGAGGTTGTCTCTCTTAATATATTCAGTCATCTGCTCACTTTTGTAATTTCTCTCCTGCTTCCAAATGGTCAAGTGTTCTAAGCCTTACATATTTTTCAATATGGCATTTTGGTGCCATAAAAATGCTCTTTCTCAATTAATGCTGAAATCAAATCCTGAATTGCAGAAGTTTATGGATAAACACACTTTATGCAAAGTTGATATCATGCCATTTCTTACCTGTAAGGGACAAATTGATCAATTTGGATTGGGTAATTACAGTCAGGTTTGTATTTTGCTCATTCCATAAATGAATCAGATTGATTGATTACTTCATGAAATACTATTATTTTCATGTACATAAACATAATTTTGAACATCAATGTATATTGATAAATTCCAAGAAGTGACAAATATTCTAATCCTCATTAGATTTGTGAACACTGATCAGACATTATATTTCTTTTTTCTTCCCCCCTCCAATCTCTATTTCCCCTCCCTGTCTTCTCTTTCAGGAATACGTTAGGCTTTCAGGCTTTATATCAAATAAATTAATATTAACTCATGTATATCCACACACATTTATATCGGAAACCTTTACTGAATTTTTTATTTTATTTATTTATTTATTTATTTTTTATTTACCAAGAAGGGGGATGGGGGAATTGACATTTAAAGAGTGTGCTATTATTGTATTTTCTTCATTCATATGTTTTCAGATTTAGATCAAGACAGCATGAATGTTTTGCAACTCTGTACTTTCCTTTCAAGTGTTAGCAAAGTAACTGGCCATGAATCACTGTGTGGAGGAACTGATATAAAAAGGGATGCTTATAGCAAATGGAAGTTTTACCCAATTTATGATGATGAAGGTTTCCATCTTGAAAGAGATAAAGTTGTTGATTTTGTAGAATTTATATCAAAAGTTACTTGTAGTGCTTCAGGTAAAATTTCAGTTATTCATTCGTATTTGTATTATTGTATTTATATTGTCCAAACTAGGCTTTATATTTTATTTAAAATTAAATGTAGTATAAAAACAATAAAAAATTCTTTGTCAACTGTTTAAGCTTTATTGTATTGTACTTACGTTTTTCTAAATTTCAGATCCAAAATCATGTAGTCTTTCTGTGGAAAAGGACAAATTATTACAAGCCATACAGCTCATAGATCATATGAAAGTTAAAGGGCAAGGAATCATTGCTCTGAGGACTGTTTATCTAAGTTGTAATGTGGTGTGTTTTAAATTTTAAAATTATTTTAATATATAAATTTGTATGTTGAGTATTTTATATGTTAAACATGTTCTAATTTTTATTTCATTCTATTTTATTCTCAATTAATATTTTAATAAATGCCACTTGTTTAAAATGATATCTGTACCGAACTTATCTACTTCTAAGTATTATTTCTATTATGTTAAAAACTTTTTAAATTACTTTCCAGATGTTATGTAATAATTTTTTGTTTATACATTAGATCAGATCCGATCTTTCAGAGAATTTTAAGTCTTCAGGGATTTATGTACAGCATATTGTGTTTCCAACCATTCAAAGATCAATAGGACTTTGGAATACTGACATATTTTATGCATTCAGTTTGCTCTTAGTTTTTCCAGAAGAAGAAAGGTTGAGGACTTTAAATGTAAGTAAGCTGATTTTTTAAAACTGTATTTATGTCACCAGTTTATAATACATTTTATTTTGCCATATTCTGGGCTTACTCACATATTTCTCCTCTTCATACACTTCTTCAATTTTTTTCAGCATGTGATTTAGAAATATCTGATCTGCTGTGACACTGTAAAATATGTGCACAAATAAAAAAATATTTCATGTAGGTAAAAAGAAAATTATCGAAATTAATAAATCCTTTGAAATGCTTAATATAATAATAGTGAATCCTTGTGTATGTATTTTAATGTGCTATATTTATCATTTAAGCTGTCTCTTCATAAATAGTAAGCGGTAAAATTGGTAGCAAAAGGGGGCATGTGTTAGTAAATTTGGTATATGTTTGTGTGTATATATATATTATGCATAGTTTGCGACAAGCTATGAGCGGTACTTACATATTAACGCAAACAGGCCAAAATTCGCATAAATCGCCAAATTTGGTGACCCTACTTACGGCAACCCTATGTATAGATGAAAGTTTATTTGTAAAAAGAAAAAATAACACACTGGGCATGTACTACCACAGCAATGGGTTTTCGGCGGAATTTGCTGAGAAAAGAAAGAGCCTTTTTTGGTTACTGTACTGAATACAAGTGAGTTCGAAAATGCTGGATTTCTGCATGGAACTGTTAATGATAAATATAACTTTTTGGATCCCAACATGGGCGTTCACACACAACATGTAGAGCGCATGTGGGGCTCAGCCAAATGGCGCAACAAAAAACAGAGAGGAACAGCCCGTCATCATCTTAACTCATACCTTATCGAATTTATATGGCGCCAAGCTGAAGCTGTTAATGGAGAAGACGGTTTTCAATCAGTGCTAAAAGCAATAGCCAAAAGATTTCCGCCGAAAAAAAAATAATTCTGCAACTTATTCAAATTCGAAACCGGAAGGGTTTAATTGCTATTTTATATTTTAAAACAAAATAATATAAAAAACTGTATTAAAAATTATCTGTAATTAATAAATGTACATTTTCTTTCTATTCATACTTTTTTACTCAAACTTACAAATCGCGCCAACCTGGTTGCGATAATACGTAAGTACCCTATGAGCTTCCTGATATCTCTTTAAATAATCACACCAAATTAGCAAGTCAATTTATTGTGACCAATGATAAGACATAGTGGAATATACAGCTGTAAATAATGAATAAATAACTTGAAGAGTATGTAGATAATTAAGGCCTTTTTATAATACACGAGCTTCCAATATTCCTCTATTCCATAAACTTCCAATATTCTTCTAAGTCACCAAATCGGCAAGAAATTGTCAAGCATCTCTAGTTTGGGAAAAATTTTTGTTGCCAAGACCTGTGAGGATCATTTTTGCATAAGTCTATAGTTCTTGTTGAGCCATTTTAACAATTAACGTATTACTGGAATCAGAATGAAAGGTCTATAACTCTGTATTATAAATAAGCACCTCATACACAAAATTATGTGGCCACAAATTCTCTTACTGAGAAATAAATATTAAAATTATTACCTTATATGCAATATTTAAGTAAAACAATAAACAGTATTACAATAACACACAAAAACAGTAATACAGACACAAATATTTAAAGAAATTTGCATCATCACTTTCTTAAGGAATGCATGTCCTTAGGTAATGAAATCTCCAAGACCAGCAGCTTCTAACCGTGATAAGTTGCAAGTCTGTTGTACTGTACCATTTTATGTTTAGGTGAAGGAGTTCTTCAGATATGCACCTCTATGTTATTCAGTTTCTTAGTTAAATGGAAGGGTTCCTTCCAGAAAGTATTTGCAGCTTGGGTGAAATCTTCGATGATGTTTGGGGTTTGACAACCAGACTTGATCTCCATCCATTAATTCCCTCTCTGTTGGTTTGGCATCAAATACCTTCTTCATCCTCTCAGTTGCTGCTTTCCCTGGCAAATCGATAAACATCTAAACGTTCTTTCAGACCTTCCAGGTAGTCCTAAGGCAAAAATGTGGATACTATCTGAAGAGCAGGTCATACATCAGATAAAGATCATGTCCAAAAAATCATTTATGATGAAGAAAATCCAGAGCCCTTATGAAGGCCATTTTTTATGCTATTGAGGATGTTTACACATATGTAGAATGATTTCAGGACCATTTAGTTAATGTTTAAAATGTAAGTTTGATCTGTTAGCCTTTTTTCTGGACTATAAGTCTGCATTGTGATTTCCATGATAGAAGAGCTTCTTGTAAAATTTCGTGGGGTACTGAATTCCATTCCTCTTCTACTTTCCAGAGTCTGGTAGTCGCAGTAGGTTTGTGCTTAGAAAGAGCTTTTTCAAGAGACATGATGGTCCATAGCTGAAATGTTAGGGGATTTTGCAGGAATGCATTGAAAAGCAATATCTGTATCAATATATGCAATACCTGTATCAGTCTTAATTTTTTCAGGGAATGCGGTATGAAATAGAATGCAATTTGAAGTACTTGTTGCTTTATCTTGATGAAGTTTCACTCTTTGAAAGTCACTGGAATAAAGAATGGAATTTCTTTTTGTAAACATATTGTAACACTTTCTCTTCAATAATTTCTCTTGTTGAGTTGATTTTAACATTTTTTCTCACTCTCCTTATTTTTAATTTCTGGTTGTAAAAGAATCCTGCAATAACCGTAACCCTTTACTGAAACTTCCTTTGCATACACGAAAAGAATAAATTGACAATAAATGCACCATTTTTTGTTGCAGTCATTCAGGTAAACCCGTACTTCATCAAGAGTTACAATGTATTTCCATTTATGCCCTGATAAATAGTTTTCATACAGGGTTTTACGTTTTACATACTGTTCTGCATTTAGCCACATGCCCCAGCAAAAAGCTGGTGACCATATTTGCAACTGATTTCTACATCAGCTGATTTTCTCTTGATTTAACTTTAGGAACATTAGAAAGAGTATGTACTTTTTGAAGTGTTCATTTGTAGTCTTCCTTCCATGTAGGATTAATAATTGGCAGTTTTTTCCTTTCCAACAAATAACGTTGCTTATTTTGCTCTTGCAAATTTTAATATCATGCATTTCACAATGTTTTAAACTATTGAATATGATTATCTTTAAAAAGTGCAAAAACATTCCTTCAATATGCAGCTTTTTTAGATGTTACATTTTGAAAGAAGAATAAATTTAAAAGTAGCAGACAATATATCTCATTTCAAATAATGACATTTTACCAGATACTTATTCTTTTAATTTGCTTTTCTATTCCTTTAGCTTGCTTTTCAATTTTATCAAAATCAATCTCAAAATGTGAAAACACCCTTTGTAATCAGCTTTGGTTCCCACACCTGTTTCCAAAATAAAATTGTTTGATTAAATCTCTGCACCATGCTGTTTGATTATGGATGTAAAGGAATGGTTTGAATCTTTATCATATCTAGAATTTTCTGCAATCCACTGAATATGCAGATGCAAAATTTGTTCCTTGGTTAAGAGATGCTTCATGTGATAATCTTTTCAAAAACATCTCCATTTGACGTTTAAATGTTGCTAGTTGGTTGCATAACCCCCCAAAAATCTCTTTAAACCAGAGGATTCCAATGCATAACCCCCCAAAAATCTCTTTAAACCAGAGGATTCCAAACTTTTCAACTTATGGAGCACTTTTTAGAATGAATCATTGAGAAGCACTTTTGGCATCCTCTATGTCTTAGAAGGTAGTGGTGTTTAAGAATAATAATGTATAGAAGAGGTAGAAAGGAAATATAATAAAGGAGTGTAAAGTGAAGAGAGATCTTAATAACTGAGCGATGGTCATGCAATGAAACTATTTTTAAGAAGTGCTGAAATTTAGAAAAACATGTAAATTTTCTTTCAGTTCTCACAATGTACATGATATTGTCAAAACGAGGTCATACATAAAAATCCTTGTGCAGTTAAAAAAATCAAATTATTTGCACTACACCAAGTTTTAGATTATGGGTGAGAGCAGTTATAAATCCATAATAAGTTAATGTGCAGCTTGAATTTGTAAAGCTCGTACCATTTAATAGACTCTTAACGTTAGGGAAAAGTCAAGGAATTAAAATATTTTTAGTCAAAATCTGGGAAAGTCTGGAAATTTTATACTGCAATCCACAAAAAAGTAATTTTTGTACCAACATCGGGCGCGATCATTTTCTTGGCAAATCACGTATCGCATGAATGTCATTCGGTCAGCTCGCATAGAGCCAATTTTCACAGCGCCAGTCAGACTGTCTTTTAGAAAGGCAAAGCAAGTTTGCAGCATCTTTGGTATTTAGTAACCTCGAAAATCCAGAATTTCGCATGCGCATGTGCAGTGCATGTTGAACAAAAGTAAATTCTCCTCATTCTCGTATAAAACAAAATCTTTTAAACCTTTTCTTTTCCTTAAATGCCTTATTTGTCATTTGTAAAATTATAAAAAAATAATAATAATAATCAATCATCCAGGCTAACCATTTAATATATCTATATTTGCCTGTCATTTCTTGTAATTCAGTTTTTAATCCTTAAGTAATTAATTTTATTTTAATGTAATTCATATCATTTAAAGTGTCTTCTCTCTTCTTAATGTATTTATTACTAGTTAATAATACTTTCAAATTTCAGGCAATTTTTTCTGGCATACTTGTGAAACTAATTCTAGCAGTAATATGACAATATTGCATCATGAAAATTTAGTGCACATATTTTTTACTGCATATAAAATATAAAATACCTGAATAATAAATATAAAATACTTGAATTTGTAATAAGTTATCATTAAATAGATTTCTTTCTTCCTTGCAAAATGTCTTCAGAAAAGCCATTTTTAAATTCCGATTGAGCAGATTCTAATCTCAATCCTCAGAGAGGAAAACAACTTCTATTATAGTTATAAAAGTAATGCTTTGATGGTTATATGTATAAGTCATGTGTAATTCGCAAATTTTGGTATTTTCAAGTGGTACCATAAACAATTTACCCTCAGCACAGCCAATGCACACTACACAGATAGCC